TTAGTAGTGTTAGCGCATTAACAAGGTTAGCTTTGTTAGTAGTGTTAGCAGCATTAGCAAGGTTAGTATCGTTAGCAGTGTTAGCACATTAGCAAGGTTAACATCGTTAGTAGCGTTAGCACATTAGCAAGGCTAGCATTGTTAGTAGTGTTAGCGCATTAACAAGGTTAGCTTTGTTAGTAGTGTTAGCAGCATTAGCAAGGTTAGCATCGTTATTAGTGTTAGCACATTAGCAATAGTGTTAGCAGCATTAGCAAGGTTAGCATTGTTAGTAGTGTTAGCAGCATTGGCAAGGTTAGCATCATTAGTAGTGTTAGCAGCATTAGCAAGGTTAGTATCGTTAGCAGTGTTAGCACATTAGCAAGGTTAACATCGTTAGTAGCGTTAGCACATTAGCAAGGCTAGCATTGTTAGTAGTGTTAGCGCATTAACAAGGTTAGCTTTGTTAGTAGTGTTAGCAGCATTAGCAAGGCTAGCATTGTTAGTAGTGTTAGCAGCATTAGCAAGGTTAGCAGTTGCTTTTGCCTCCAGACAGTGAGGTTTTAATGAGCCAAGAACAAACATCAAATACTGCATTCCATTTTAAAATAATTAAATGTAAACATCAACATTTAAGATCTAATATTTCAATTTAACATTTAAAAAAATATCTAAATGTTAGAACAGTGAGCTAAATAATGAAAATGTGTTAGTGACGTTTTATTTTAGACTTTAAATAGAAAAATAAATAAAAGTGAGACATGCGCTCTGCTTGAGTTCCAGATAATAAAAGTTTCAATGACAGATTATAATAGATTATAATCCTCACAGCTACAGCTGTTCATTCAGATTAAAACATTTATTATTTTCAGACAAACCCTCTTTAACGTAAATAAAGTGAGATCAAAGGTAGTCTGGTTCTGAAGGAACCGGTCCTGGACTCTTCTGGGATTATTTGTTTGGTTTTGGTTCCATGGAGGCGTCAGAACCAACTCATCAGAACTCTGGGTCCAAACAGACCCGGTTCAGAACATTACAAGCAGATGTTCCCCCACCTTCCTCAGCAGGGTCCGGTCCAGAGGGGGGTTCTGCCTCCGCTCCCGGTCCGCACTGAGTCAGATCCTGGATCCGGTCTGCAGCTGCTGCGCCACCTGACCCGCCTCGAAGAAAAACATGAAAACTGGTGCTGCACTGGCCTCTGCAGGTCCAGACCCAGGTACTGCAGGTCCAGACCTGTTACTGCAGGTCCAGACCTGTTACTGCAGGTCCAGACCCAGGTACTGCAGGTCCAGACCTGTTACTGCAGGTCCAGACCCAGATACTGCAGGTCCAGACCTGTTACTGCAGGTCCAGACCTGTTACTGCAGAACCAGACCCAGGTACTGCAGGTCCAGACCCAGGTACTGCAGGTCCAGACCCGGGTACTGCAGGTCCAGACCCGGGTACTGCAGGTCCAGACCTGGGTACTGCAGGAC